CGAAACGTTAGGAAACAAAACTTCCAGAACATGGCCACACAGCCCGGAAGACCCACACCAGCCATCGTATGCCAGCCGTGAAAGCCTTCGACAATACAATGCACAAATAATTTAATCCAGCTGTGGGCATTGGCCAAATGAATAGTGGTGAGGAAGATGGTGTGGTCCAAGTATAATCCAACAGAAAAATATTGTGTGTACAAATATTGTGTGTTCCTGCAGTTGAAATACATACATATATATGTATGTACATGTGTGTGTGTTTGTGTGTACACACACACATACATAATGTGTGTAGAAGCAGAAATGGAAGTGAGCAACCTTCAGCTTTGCAAAAATGTAATTCTTAGTAGTTCCATTTGTTCCTAAGCAAATTCATTGGTAGGACTGGGATGATAAGCAATTGGAGAAGTCCTTCAGAATTAAAATGAACTTGTAACTGGTTTGCATATGACTCAAAAGACATGAAAAATATTTCTGGTGGAGACATGTTGCCGTTATAGCTAATAATGGATTTATGAACCACCAGCCTATATATGGCAACTCCTTACATTGCTATAATATTTCAATTGAATGAAATATGATCTATTATGGATATTGCTATATTGGGGATGATGGTCCCACATCTTTGGTTTACAGCTGTTAGGTCGCCTTCCACTAGCCTTGAAATCAAATATATATATTTCATGTTTCTTAACCATAAGAGATCTTTTAGAGTTTTGAGCAACAATCCCAAGAATGCTTATGAGAGATGAAGTCTCAAATTAGTGGAATACCTATCCAAATCAATAGGGTTGGCACTGCATGGTATGGACTTGGAAGAGTGCAGTTTGCAGTGAAGATGAGCTACACCAAGATGTACAACTAATTTACATCTTCCCACAGGAAAAGGAACAAGTCCCAAATTATTAGCCTTCCAAGCTTCCTTCCTGTTATCATAGCATCTGATCCTAAGGCATTAAGGAACTCATCTATTCTATAGCAATATGATCTTCTGTGAGATGAAATAACCATCTTAAAATGAAGAATGACCCTGATAATATGGGGCAGCTGGCTCACCTGTGTATAGTCTGAATGCTGCAAATCATTGGCTATTGCCAGCCAAATTGCCTAATACCAGTGAGACATGTTTCTTCAAGAAAATGTAGATTTATGGATTGGGTTTTTCTCCCCCTTCATTTTAATCTTGATGCCTCCTGGCTGGTCCATGATAAATGAGGTAGCTCCTTCAATGGCAGAGAGTAGGGGCAAGAATCATGATATGAAAAAGGATGGGGGTACAGATAGAAATGAGTGACATTTTTCTCTTGGTTCTGAGTTTGCAAAATGTTGTTAAAATTCCCAGAGAGTATCAGTATATAGAATAGAATAGAATAGAATAGAATAGAATAG